CAAGGTGTCCTACCACAGCGTGCTCCACGCGACGCTGCTTGCCTGCTGGTTTTCTTTCTTCTTGGCTGTGCGCTCAGCTTTATCGCGTGGTTATGTGGATGAAGGTAAGGGGTGATCAAAAACACGTTAAGCGTTGCCTGGGAATCAGTGTTGTTGAAATTCGGATGCCTGCCACTTCTGCGGATCAGTTACGCAAAGAGCGAGGCCCCACTGAGGTTCACCACACAAAGAGAGGTAGGCACAATGCCAACACCAAAAAGGGCAAGAGCAAGGCCATTGGCTTGGATTGTGTCCCCATGCTGCGCTGGGGTGGCTAGACTTCCAAGGACGCGGACAAGGTCGTAGCGCCGGTGGACGTCCCCTGAGCCGGCTGTTTGTGGAGTTAATTTCAAGGCTCCAGCTACAAAGATTTTGTCCCGGAGGCTTTACAAGCACCGCAAGGATCATCATCTTGAGCATTTCGTCCACAAACCCTCTTCCCACCGGAAAGGAAGGGAAGTTGCTGTGGCCATGCAATGTGTGTGGCGGTAAGGTTTCAGCGTGGTGGCTTGAGCACAATTGTAAGGATCATGAGTTTACCCGCATTCCCCTACAACTTAAGCCCATGTGGGGGTGCAAACGGTGTGGCCGTATATGGGGATACTTTTTTGGTGGTGGATGTTTGCGCATGCATCCTTGACCCGCCTGAGGGCAGTGGATCTCGTGAGTCCTGGCTCAGGGGCAGGTCATTCAAAGGTTCGTGGTGCCGACTCAGTGAAGATGATCGGCAAAGTGTTAAGCGTTGCCTGAGAATCAGCGCCGCTGAAGGCCGGATGCTTCACACTTCCGCGGATCAATTGCGGAGGAAGCGGGGCTTACTGAGGTTCGGCACACCAAGGGCAGCAAGCGCAAGGCTTGCACCAAGAAAGGCAACAGCAAGCAAGTTGGCCTTGACACTGTCCCTGTGCGCGAGGAGGTGAACAAGATCGCTGTGCCAGAGGCAACATCCAGTGAATCGGACGCCACGTGTGACATAGGCGGAGTGAGTCCACTTCAAGGCTCCCACTGCAAGGATCTTGTCAATGCGGCTTTACCAGCATCGCAGGGATTTCAAAACACCATCCATTGTCGTAAAAATGCCTAGGCCCTGCCTGAAAATAAGCCCAGACCCCAACAAACCTTCAACCTTGAAAAATCCTCAACCCTAAGAAGCCCCAAGCCCTACAAAATCCTGGAAGGCCCCACGCTTTAGAGAACCCTGAACCCCTTAAAAAGTCCTAAGCCCGGAAAAAAATCCTCAATCCTACAAAGTCCTAAGCCCCAAACAACTTCAGAACCAAAATAACCCGCAACCCGAAAAGACAGCTGGCACGTTGGATGTAGTGTCTTTCTTGTCCAGTGCTGCGGGTAGGCGTGCGTACTTTTTTTGGGAGGAGGGGGTCGTGACGGACGCTCGTGTATTTGATTATGGTGCTGCAGCCTTGGAGGCTTTTCAGAGCACCAGGGTGATGAAGTAACCAGTTTGGCCTGATGCCGCCCGCTCCTAAGGGGGCTTTGCCTGGATCCCGGGTTCAAAAGGGGCGTTCAACAAACAAACCTTGAGCCCTACAAAACCCAAGCCCGAAAAAACCCCGAACCCCAAGCCCCGAGCCCCAGGCAACCAGAGTGGCAACCCCAGAGCCCAAGAGGGACCCCGTGAGAACCCCAAACCCTAGGCCCAAGGGCAACAACCCCGGAACCCAAGGGACCCGAGCACGTTTGCGCCTCAGAGGCGCGCACGCCGTGCGCCTTAGTTGCGTACAGTTTCATCATTGCTGCGCAGGACGAAGGATGAGGCTGTACACACCCCAGGGTCCCGCTGAGCTTCCGCTAAAAAACCGATTCTGCATCCAAAAACGTCAGGTCACGTCATGTCACGTCATGTCGCCTATGCGCCCGAACGCGGCCGTTCCAAGGCACAAAGGAAACACTCAGTAGATGTGTCCAGTTTCACACCGAGAGCTAGATAGCCGACCAACGGGACAGTTATGCAACATGAAAGTACATTTGTGCCTGATTGAAATAACTTCAGTCCTGTTGCTTGCAATGAGTCCGCATGGCATGTTGCTGTTGCCGCTCTCAAGGTTCTAGGGGGTTAGTACTCGAGTGCGCGTGGAAAGTGGAAAGGGACACAGACGCGCGCTCACAAGTGCACTGTGCGCTGTAGTGAGGTAGTTCATGCTTGGGCCAATTTCAGGGGGGGGAAGGGGGAAGGGGGGGGACAAGGGGGAGGAAAAGGAGGTTTTGGACGAAAAATGCTCGCTGCCGTGGGGTGGTCAAGCTGGACTAGACCATCCGCCATGGGAGGAGAGGCGATCTGCAGGGTAGAGAGGGGTTCCAAATGCCCTGAGGCTGGATAGCCTCGGCGAATTTGCCAAACATCGAAAACAATTTGAGCCGTAGTCTTTGAATCCGTATTCGTACCATTATTCCCCATCCACCCTTTTTTGGAAGTATCGTGCAGTTATCCTCATTTTTTCTTGATGCTTAGTGCGCAAATTTTGCAATCCATCCTTGATTTTTAGGTCACATTTTTCTTGGTGCCTATCATTTTGTTCTTGATGCTTCATCCCTTAGAAGAAGAGCGCCGGTTGTTGGCTGAATTGCCCCAGCTCCCGGATCTGCAGTGTGCCTGGCTGTTGTTGCCCTTCTGTGCTGCCCCCCGCGCCAGCATCTCTTCCGCACCGTGCCTCCGGCTGCGATAGCGGATTACGCGCGTGGCCACGATGAAAAAACATGGCGGACGCTGCAAGACATGCCAAGCGCCCCGGCTGATGCCGAGCAGTCACGGCGTCAGGCCCGTGACTTTCGCGTTCCTGCCTGCTTCCCCTCAGACGGCGTTGGTTGCAGGCGCGCCTCGGAGTCGGACCGCTGGGTCCGGCCATGTAGGTGCTCGCCTGCAGCCGCTGCAGGCTGGAGGCTTGGCGCAGCGGCCTGATTACCTGATTGGAGCTCCTGCAGGCAACACGCGGCAGTTTCGGGCAACATTGTTGCAGCGCTGGCAAAGAGCTCGCCGCGCCGCCCAATGCGCGGCAAGAAAGGGAGCGCGCATGAGGCCCAGGCCCCCGCCAGTGCCTATGGGCGAATGGCTGGCAAACGGATGCTGCTCTCGCGCTCCACACTTCTTTCCGAGAGCATGTCCTTTTGCCAGCCGCCCGGCCCATCGACCGAGCGTTGCTGCGCTCCCAAGCAGCCCCACATGCAAAGGCACGGCTTGCCGCCATGCCTGCCAACCCTGCCACCACACGTGCGCCAGATCTGATGCACTTGGTGCTCAGGCGCCGCATGCGCTTGCCTCTGCATTTGAAACGGGCTAGGTGTGGAGGACAAGGTGCGACAGGCTGCCGTGCCTTTTCGACAACGTTGGGGATCATGCTGGTGCGGCTGCCTGTGCACGTGCTGTTGATGCTGGTGCTGGTGCTGGTGTTGGCGCTGGGGCTGGGGTTGGTGCTGGGGCTGGCGCTGGCGCTGGTGCTGGTGTTTCTGCTGGTGCTGGTGCTGGTGCTGGTGCTGGTGCTGGTGCTGGCGCTGGCGCTGGCGCTGGTGCTGGTGCTGGTGCTGGTGCTGGTGCTGGTGCTGGTGCTGGTGCTAGTGCTAGTGCTAGTGCTAGTGCTAGTGCTAGTGCTGGTGGTGGTGCTGGTGGTGGTGGTGGTGGTTTTTGTGGTGTGGTACAAGACCTCCGGGAAAGGTTGAGGAAAGGGAGGAAGAGGAGGCGGAGAACGCCGAAAACGCAGGAAATGTTGCAGAGGTTGTGGAGGCGGTTGGGGAGAGGAGGCCGGAAAGGCCAATCCAGCCGGATTGCTGTGCAGGCATTTCACAACGAAGAAGCTCAAAGGCAAAGGAGGCGATCAAGGCGGCTCACAAGGCTTGGGAAGGCAACCAGGAGAGGAGGCCATGAAGCCGGCGCAAAAACGCGAAGGCCAAGACAGCAAACCAGAGCAACGAAACCTAGAAGGTAAGCACCTGGCAGCAACAGATTCGCAGCCAGGAGGTCGCACAGCGAGTAGCCCAAGAAGTACAAACAGCAATCATAGCCGCAGCTTTTCCATCGTGTTGCGCGCGAGGGGTGTCTTTTATTTCCAACGGCCTGTCGCATCAAAATGTCTAGCGCAGATCCTGTGCAAACCACGGATTCCACGGGTGCAAACAGGCCCCTGACAAATTTGTTTTTCTTGTCTTCAGCCAATTTGTTCATTGTGTGCGGAGATTCGCCAAAAAAAAAAAAAACGAATCGTCGTAGCTGAGATATGCTGAAATTATGGATACAGGTATCCAATGGATTTGTATTCTGGATGTGTATTCTGGCAGAGACGCGTCCAGTCACATGTTCACGAGTTTTCACTCAGCATTTCCTTTCCAAAGCCCCCCACGGTGCCCCACAGGTGCTGTTGGCTTACTGCAGAGCATCTGCCCGAATCCGCCCTCCTGCCTTCGCGAAGTTCTGCGCCCCGGGCGTCGATTTCCATGTTTTTTGTACGCGCCCGAAATTGGCATGATGCAGCCTTTATGAGCTGGCCAAACACAATCATCAGTGTGACCACCTGAAGGAAGTTTCGATAGCAGAATTTTGTTAAGTCTGTCATCCCATCTTTTGCAGGGCCATGTTGTGCAAGATGCGCTGCAGGTTCCCCGTCTGTGGCTCCCAATGAACTGTCAAACAGTCATTGAAAGCAGAATGATAAATAAGATGAGGGTGCTGCTGATCGTTGTTGTTGTAGATGGTCCAGGAAATCTGAATCAAGTTCCCACCAAAACGTGCAATGCACAGAGGGCATTGTTAAGCCATTGACATTTCAACATATGGCCATGTATGACATCACGTCAACACACCTATCCTTCATTCCCATCTTCCCGCGATGGCGTTGCAATTGCATGTCCGCCCTTTAAATGGCAAGTTGTTGACGCGGCTCGCCGGCATGGTGTGGAATGACGGGCCACGAATGTCCTTTGATGAATGCATGCCATCAATCATGCCAGACAAGGTTGACAGCAAGTTCGGCGGAAACAGTTGCCAGTTTGATTTCAAGGGTGCAGACAATGTGCGGCGACGTTTCCGGATTGCATATGGTTATTGGGTGAGCAGTTTTCAGCGCTTTCAGCGTTTGTTTCCAATATGCAACTTGAATTGGTGCGCGCTAAGGTCGGTGACAAACCAAACTTCCGATTGTGCTTGGCCAAAGGCACGATGGCATTTGTATTCGTCATGTTGCATATGAAGTGATTGAAGCATAGAAATAACTGTGCAAAGGTTCGTGGCCGTTAGCCCAGGAGACATTGTTATACCTTGGGGTTAGTGCCTGCCCCTCTTTCAAAAAGGTAACGGTGGTCAGTGTTGGCATTCCTTTCCCCGAACCCATGCTATGAAAATTTGGGGTCGGGGATGGTGTAGGCCGTAGGCGTGAGAGTCTACACAGGTGTCGTGAGGGGCAAAATATGGAAGCGCCGCGCGGTGGTAGAACATTATGCGGGGCCCAGCCCATATTGATTGAGCAACGACAAGATACACTTCGGCCTCGGATCGAAGTTTGAAATCGTGAGGAGGTCACATGAGACTTTGATTTCAGATGGGGAGGTAGCAATGAATGTGAAGATGTTGTTTTTTCAGAAATTCTTTGGGTCAAGAACTGCTTGCGTCCGTTGTTGCATTTTGCGTCTGCTGATTGGAGCCGCGTGACGAATGTGAGGACTGTCGACTGGCGCGATCCTGTTTGCCATTTTGTTTGCACACGTGGCCTTTTAGTCTCATCTGCTGTCAGGAGATAGCATGACCGTCCTGGATGAGTCCAACTCTTTGGCCTCGTCTGGTCGTTTGACGTCATTGGTAGCTTTGTGCAGCTTTCGTTTTCACATGGCACGTGCTGCGGATTCTGCCCTTACCAGCAATTTCTGTTCAACTGAAGGTGTCCTGGACGGAGCAACGCTGCTTGCCAGACGCCATTCGGATGATATTACAGAAGCAAAAAAGTGGTCACATCAAGTCGTGACGTGAGTGGTTCATGTCTGAATCAGGAACTCACCATGTCGCACGTGTGACGCTTGAGAAGAAGAGCGAAGCTACAAGCCCAATGTTCTGGCGATGAGGACGATCTTCTATGCGCTTAGGATGGCGCATGGCATACGGATTTCTGCTTGGCATGCGGCCTCAAGAAAAGAAGAAAGCATGAATCGCCCAGCTTTGTTTTTTCTCCGCTGACTTGTCGCTTTCCTTTGCTGCACATGTTGCCTAGACTTTCTCAGGGGCTGGACGCTAGTCCCACCAGCCACACGATTCAAAGCCATGTTCTGAACGGTGAAGCTATTTGGCTCTGTCTGCGGGTGTCTGTTGGCACCATGGCGGCCATGGATGCCAGCGTCAGCTTGGCACAATTCGCCGAGGACACGTGTGATTTCAAAAGGTAATGCAAGCTTTGCTTGGCAAGTGCATAGGCGTATGTAGCCGTCTCGCCTGGCAAGGACACAACACAGGCATCCAAAGAGCAGCCGACGCAAAAAGAAATCCGATGTCGCAGACTTGTAGCAGAGAACATGAATCCCAGTGCTCGTTATGTGTCTCGGCCAAATGCTACTGACATGATGGCTGGCGCTCCCTTCCGTGCTGTCGTTTCATGCAGCCTGGTATTAATCTCAAGTGCTCAGGTTGGCAACACACCAAAGGAGGAGTTGCTTTTAGAACACGCTGCTTGGCATCGTTTGAATCGCTCGTTTGAAGTCCTCGCAAGTCGCCTCATGCGCCTTCAGCTGCCCAGGTTCGCGAGTTTGAAGACCAGTTCGTGAATGTATATGGCAACCGCTTTCTTTTCCTCTGCCCACCAAACGAGTGTCTGAGTTGCAGATGGCAGCTGGAATCTCACAGATGAGGTGGAGTAGTGCTGATTCTGCATGAGGTACGGCGTTCCCAAGTTTTTGCCAACTACTTTGCGCCCTACGTACCTTGGCAGTTTTTTGGACAATTTGCTCGATCTCGAATTGGTTTGTCACTTTTTTTTGTGCGGCGCCTTTGACATGATAGACATGGTAGAGACGGGTGACTGAGGCACCTCCCTTACCAGGAGCTCTACGAGTACAAGTCGTGCGCAAAATTCTTGGCGGACTTTTTCAATTATGTTGCCTGGCACGATTCAGAGAAATTCTTGAATCACGTGGTTGAGAGAAGGCCTGCACATGCGGTTGTGCCGTCGAAGCAAGGATGAGCTCCACCCAGCCGACAGATATCCCACGGTGGTTCCTGCGCCTGCATCCGTGTTGAATTGGCAGGCGCGCGGCTGTTGATTGGGGTGTCCTGAGACAATGCCCTCGCTGATTTATGCTGATGTCAGTTTTGGAGGCTGGGGATTGTTTTGACCTCTCAATTGCCCTGGCCTCGTTGCTCATTGGCGTTGGCCGCTGGGCTTCCATGAGATGAAGTGTTGAATGCTTGCGCATGTTGCAACAGTAGAGGCGCAGTCAGCGAGGATCTCGCACCTGAGGCTATGATGCGTACTGCGTCAGTGGGTTCGCACCAAGGTTTATCACAACACGTGCTTTGGCTTTGATAGGAGTGGCCATTTCCAGCCTGTCATGTTTGACAGGCTGTTCTGCTTCTTGTGTGAAGGCTGCTGGCAACTTTTCTTGGCTTGCGCATGCAGGCAATGAAGCCCGCAGCGCATGCCCACAGCTAGACGCAGATATCGAAGAGACCAAAGAGGAAGACAAGCAGGAAACATTTCCCGGGTTCTGCTGGCGCTGGTGCGAGTGCTGCCCACGTTGGATTTCGGTTTCTAACCCCTGCAGGAGGAGGATGAGTTCGTCATTCCTAAAAAGCCGCCGCTGAGGCCCATCTTCATGAAATGGGCAGGTTTGTACACTTTGGATATCTGGCGCAAGAGTGTAAGGCTCTCCAAATGTTGAATGTTGCAGACAAGTCCGCCTAGGTGTGAACCTTTTTTTTGCAGTATGAAGCCATGGTCAAAGCTGCCCTGCCCACCAGGTCAGAGTACAAGGAGGCAAAGGCTAGGGCAGAAGAGGCTGATCGCTTGCGCAGCTCTGCAGCACTCAGTTGGGTTCCATCTTTGTTTCCTTTGGGGCTGAAATGCTGTACTGGTAGGAGAAGTTTTCCCTAACTCAGTTGCCGTAAGCTTTTCAAGCTCCGTTAAGCTGGCGGTTTCCGCTCGGGTGAAGATAGGTCATGCTTGACATGTACTTTTGACCGAACCGAAAGCAAAGCCTTCCTGCCCAGGCCTCCAAGAGGAAGAGATGAAGTCTGATTCAGAGGATGACCCTTCCAGCCCTTTGCCGTTCAGGTTGTGTTGGCTTCAAGGTTTGCTCGGTTTATTCGGCCTTGTCACCGCAGGATTCTATTTGCAAGGCAAATGGCAAGCTGACACCATAGAAGTTTCACTGGCATCAGCGCAAGGAAACGAAAACAGGAGCTGAGAGCTCAGTAGAAACGCTGTTTAATTTCATCCTCAGTTCTGCGGGGAAGCTACCAAACAGCAGTTTTGGTCTGGTCTTGAGAACTGACTTCTTACCCAGAGCAAGTCTGGTAGAGTCAAAGAGCAGGCAGTTCCCTGGCGTGCTCAGGTGACGAAGATGAGTTCGAAAACCGACGCATCCACTGCTGGGTTTTGGTACGAAAAGGATCGCGCGAGGCAGGCATGCTCGGATGTGTTGTTGACGTTCATAAAGGATTAGAGGGGGCAGCATGTTGTACCTGAAATATAGCAGACTTGGCCTCGGTCGTGGCTGCAGGTTGCTGAAGACATGTACCTCGAGCCAACCACGGGCCGCATCTACTCTGTCAAGCGCTGCCCATACCTCAAGATTGATCTGATCTGGAACCACAGAAACCTCTGGGTCAACATGCAGGCACGAGTGTGTTTCAAGCAGGGCACAGACTCACAGATGGCCTCAATGCAGCTCCATTGTTTGAAAGTGCAGGTATGTGGAGCCTCGCATGTTCAGCTAGACCTGTACAACTCCCGCTACTTTGAGTACGTTATGCCGGGGGCTTACAGACCATGGCCAACATTGTCATTGGCTCATGGATCCAGGCTCCAATCCATGTTGGCGAGATGAAAATGGTCAGAGAAAGTATCTTCTGCCAAGGCTTGATGCAGACAATCTCAGTGGCGATCTGGGGAGCGGTGGACGCTACGAGGGTGATGACACAGGTTACCGAGAGAATAGAATGAACTTGCAGCAAATAGCCGCCGATGTCCGGCATGAGGCTTTCCAAGAGTTCCCGCCAGGTCCAACAGCAGTGCCGTCAGCTGGCAACATGGACTCTGACGAGAGTCGCCGTGCGGAGCAAACAGCACAGAAACTTGATGGCAGTTGTAGAAGCAATATTTGGCACATCAATTGTGACGTCAGACTTATTAACGGAAACGGGCTGACCACAGTTGGGTTGAGGCTGTTGGTCGGCATTTGGCCAATGTAAAGGGGTTTGCTGTCAGCCTTGCAGCTTTGCCCGGTTTTGCCCTGCATCTCCATTCAAAGGATCCTTGACCTGCCATCACCTTGGAGTGAGCGGCCGGACATCCCCCGTGAGAAGTTCCATGCGCGCTGCTACCAGGGGGAAGCTCGGCGGCAGTCAGCCTGCTACAGTCCAGGGGGACTTGCAGCCTTGCTTCTTCTGCACAGCCCCGCTAGGAGAAGACCATTTTCTACCACAAGTGCAAGGTGGAGCAGTACGCCCCGTACACACAAGATGATGGCCTGGTGCAAAGAATAACCTTGTACAAGGCTTGCCTCCATGGTGAGTATGTGTGATGCACTCCAAATTAGAGACTGTCTGGGCCTGAGCAGTTGCGATGCAGGACGTTCGCCGGCAGATTCCACTGGAGATTCGAGAGCGATTCAAGCACCGCAAGGACAAGCTCTTTGAGCGGAAGCGCCGGCCCATGCAGAACGTATCTCGGCAAGCAGCCACCCCGACCAAAGGCTACCAAATTGTGCCACTGTCTTGTTGCTGCGCAGATGTGAGACCACGAGCCGGGGAGTTAAAGCAGCGAGACCTACTGGTACACCTCAGCAGTCCACTAGTGGAGTGACGTTGACGGACGCATGGAAAGTCTGTAGCGTTGCTCGAGCCATCCGCCAAGGAGACGCTGGAACGTTTCCTTCCTGGCCGGCCTTCCACATCAGCTGCCAATGCGGGTGGTGCCCTGAAGGAGTACAGGGAGGTGCGAGGGTGGCGCTTTGGTGTCTTTTTCTCGGCTGAGGGCTGCAAAGCTGAATGGGCTCGTAGTCAAGTTGTTGCCTAGAAATCGACAGAAATTAGAAATTGTTATGCTCATCCTTATTCCATCAGATGTGAAGCATTGCCAAGCTGAGCAGCTGCTTTGAGTCTGATGTTTCGTGAGTGCACTAAGACTGCACTTAACGTAATGGGCGGTGGCATGGAGGAATTGGAGAAAGACCTCTAGCCATAGTCAGATGCAGTGGAAAACCCTGGCCAGATCAGTGCCCTGAGCCGTGAGCTGATTTTCTACAAGTCTCGTCTGGATGGCCTTGTCCGCTCAGTCGAGATCATTGGCAGGCCTTGGTTGGGGGAATTTCAGAGAATCCACCATCTGCTTCCCTGGACATCTAAAATCTCATGGTTGGATGTGCCACTGACGCAGGAAGATGTTCGAGTACTTTGAGGACCGAGATGACCGACTGATCTATCATTCAGCAACTTGTCTGCAAGGATGTCTGCCTCAGAGGCCTCCAGGTGCGTCTGTGGTGTGACTGAACTAAACGCCTTGTTTCTTTCAGTATAGATGTAAGCAAGCGCTCCGTCTTTGTTGCTTAGGACATGGCTCAGATAATGTGGATCTTTCTTCAAAAGCTTAGGTCACCCTGGACCCGACAGCCATGACCAGCGGTACTTTGCGCGGTGGGCCAAAGAGCAAGGACTGTTGTGCACGTGTTGGGTGGGGCGCTGCAAATTCAGGCTGCAGGCTTTGCTGGTCTGTACTGCACATGGCTTTTGGGCAGTCGTCCTTCTCTGAACAATCGGACAAGTTGGACAACAACATGTGCAGCATCTGGCCAAAATATGGCGAAACCCTGGAGATTTAGGACACCTATCCTGTCGATTCCGTCGGCGAAGTGCCCATAAAGAAGATGACGCAGAAATACGCACGCAATCCAGAGGTTGGGATTCAAGCAGCTCTTGGGTCCACTTCTGGCATGCAAGCCGGTGGATGTATATGCCTGATCGAAGTCCTGCAGGTGCCTGCTGAAGAGGACATCGCAAAAATCAGTGCCCTGCTCAGTCATAGATTCAAAGATGCTTGTACTGTCTCCCGGCACGCCGACAATCAGGCAGAGTAGATGTAAGTTTCGGCCTCTTTGTGGATGCTGTTGAGGTCCCATGTTATTGGTTTTGGATGGGCGTAAGCGCTTGAGCTTTAGAGCCGCGCATATTTCACGCTGGAGGCTTCTACTTGTCCGAGCAGACCTCATCATCCATTTATTCATCGACTGGCAAGATCCGGGTGGACTACCATCGCGAACCTGGTTCGTTGACTTTTCGCACCTAGCCTGCGCGTGGTCCACACTGTGGATGCCAAGGCTAACCTACCTTGGACCCATGCGGCAGACATATATGTACGTAGAGCTAAACAGAACCCTGGACCCCGTGCAGACAAGTTGGACGCTGTGAGGAGTCAGTTGGTTTTGACTGACTGAGGGCAAGTCATGTACCACTACGAAGATGGCAACCTCCGGCGGCGACCCTCTAGCTTGCCGCAGCCAACCCAGGCCACCAGTGATCCTCTTTTGAGAGGAGAAGCTTGATTTCGCTGTAAGATTGCGAAGCTTGAAGGAGACAGAAAGTGTTTGACATCAGGTGCAAGTCCACAAGCTACTGCAGATGCAGTCCAGCTGCTTGTGACTCAGAGGGGGCGGGGCGGCTGTGTTTTTGCAGTTTGTCTGATCACATTATCTCACAGTTGATGCAAGGTAGGGACACCATCATGGCTTCACATACCAGCATACAGCAGGTGGGGAGCTGTACATGAGCCGCATCAATTTCCACCCGCCCTTACATATTTCATCGTTAATCTGCAGGAGCTCACAACGCGCCGGAAGGATGAAATCAGCATCCGCGGAATGCGGTCTGTTTCTGCGGGCAAGAAGCGAGATCTGACAATTCCAGGTCTGACTGCACGTCCTGTGGTGTGTTTCAGTTGTGTATAACCTAAATCAACTCGTATGTAGCATCTCAAGCATGAGCTTGTTCGGCAGAAAATGTTTTGCATAAGGATTCCGGGTGCTCCAAGCCCCCATTGATGTCAGGCAGCCGTGATGATGTGCTGGAGCCGTCCGTTTATGATTTGGCTCGCGAGAGTGCTCGTGTGGAAGGCCGGATCAAACGTCACACGCAGCATGCTTGTGACATGTCGCTCTTGTTGATCCTCTTTTTTGCGTGTTTTCCGCGCAGTTCCTGAGGAACCAGGGAAGGTGCTGAGGAGGAAAAGCAGGAAGAGCAAACTTCCAAGGCTATGGCGGTGTCGGTGTATCTTATACATAGCTACCAATTGTGCTCGTCTCTTGGCAGCCCTCACTCAGCGCAATACAGGTGGACATCCTCGCTCCGTACCTGGTGGACTTCATCAACAAGGAGCGGGTAGCGGCTGACCCTTCTTGCAGCTGAGAAAGCGGGGCAAGGCAGTCGCTGTTGGAGTCACAGCGCAGATGTCAGGATTTGGTTCCCCTTGGTCGGACTTGTTCTCTCTTGAATGGGTTGTGTTGAGATCTACACACATAATGACATGTTGTGAGCGAGCCTAACAGTTCCTGGAGATTCGAGGAGACGGGCCTTGTCCAGCTGGATTCGCTTCAGGCACAGAGAGTAAAAGCCTTCATTTGCCTGTACACTCAGTTGTCAGTTGTTGATGATCACAGAGCTCAGAAGGTAGCTACGTCCAAGCTTTTGCATCTGCTCTGGTAGTACGCTGTCAAGAAGTGTGGGGCACTTGCAGCAGACCAGCCAGGCAGAGCTAGTGGCCAAGAAGTGCACCACAGACTTCCGTGTCTCGGCGAATGTCTTCGGAGTTTTTTGACAAGGGGCCATCAGGAAGCGTAGCGCGATCCAGCCCCAACCGCTTCCAGATGCATTCGATCTTGCTTGTGGCCCTTGCCAGGAAAGCGCCTCACAGACAGGGCAGAGATCATCCAGCGTCGGTTGGAGGACATGAGAGACAGCATCAGGAAGATACGCATATTAGGCAGCCGCCAAAGACTCAGGTTTTCCTTCGAAATCTTCGAAGGCTAAAAGACTAGGAGGGCTGCTGTTTTCTCGATTCTAAGCCCGGAACTTGACCTCCCATCACGCAGACACAGATATTCACGGATTTGTTCAGAGCTGGGTGCTATGCGCAGAGTTTTCGAACTCCATTATGAAGTGGCATAGCTCATCCTCTTTTTCCAGGAGGAGCAAGAGCTTCTCCGAAAGCGGCGTGCGCAGATGCAGCGTCGGGGGGACAGCGTGGAGAGGGACGAGCGCGATTTCGAGCAGCAACCTGGCAACATCCAGAAGTTTAGCAAGCCAAGACAGAGGTTCAGTCATCTGTTCTAGAGCTGCAAGCACAGCAAGGAATGTCTTGGGGCTCCTCATAACCTTGAGACCTGACATAAGGTACCAGAACCAAGCCATGTTTCGGACGCAGATTCTGGAGCAGCGACTTGCGCGACATGAGATGCAAGCCATCGAGAAATTCCAGGACACTTTGTCACTGCGAGTCTATGCTCCCATCGACCTTCACAGACTTCTTCTGCGTCAGCCCGCGCACAGCCTTGAACCCTCAGTTGGTTTGTCAGCGCTATTCATAGCTTTGCCGATTCTTGCCTTTGGCCTCACAAGCAAGACCTGCAAAGGCCATGCATGCTGCAGGACCTGGAGAGGATGCTCCAAGAGGATCCTCGTCTCGCAGCGATGTGGCAAAAGGACCCCAGCAGCGCACACAGCCACTAAGCCACTAAGCCACTAAGCCCAATGTCCCGTAGACGCTGTCATGAGATGGTTTAGTTACATACTCCAGGTCCACCCTGGCCTAGATAAGTACAACAAGATACACGGAACATGTCAGACTTTCTCTTCGCGTGGCTCCAGGAGCCAGCGGCAGTCAAGGGCTGAGCAGCCCCCTCACTTGTGCTATCTCGCGCTGCTTGCGCCAGCCGCCGCCAAAAAAGTGCCGCTTTTCCTGGAGCCTGCTCAAACGGCAGCATGCCAGAGTCGGCGGGCAGGCTGCATGGGCGCAGTGAGCGCAGTGCAAGCTTTCGCGTGTTTCACCTGTTCTCACCGTACCTGCTCAACAAGGCGTACGCTGCCTCATTGAGCAGTTGCTGCATGACCTCCTGGACATGACGTTGTCGGGAAATACTTGCGGGCAACTTTGCATGGTTCGCTGGCTTTTTCAGTGGTGCTGTCAGGGAAATTTTGCAAGTAGAAGAAAGCAATCGTCATGAGAGACAGTTTTTTGACGCCGCGTAACGTGGAGGACCTCGATGCAGGAGAGTCCTCTTAACAAGCGCTTCTTTTGGACGTCGCTAGAACATTTGTAATTGGCATCCTTTTGCAAATCCAAATCATGAGACATGGCCTTTCTGAAGTTGAAGTATGCCCAGATGGCGAAGAACTTGGGAATCAGTTCGGGCAAGGACTATAGCTCCTCGAAAGAACGGCAAACAGCATGTCGTGATCTTTCAGTGTTGGTTCCGGGATTCAAGACCGCCTTCCTCTCGATCGCAGAACCACTTGGAAGCTGCATCGCTTTGACCATTTTTTTAGCATGATGGGACATCTAGGAATCTAGGGACCACTGCAAGGAAGCCTCAGTAGCGGTGAAAGCCCAGGCTCAAAGCAAGCCTGAAGAAGGGGCATGCAACAGAAGCATGCAGAGTGCCAGCACAGGGGAGCAGAACCACAAAGTTTGCAATCCAGGCAGAATGTTTCAAATTTCAAGCCCTAGTTTCACATCAGTAGAGAAGCTATGCGATGAAGCTGCTGCAGTTGATGCAAGGAAGCTTAGCAGTCCATCAGGTTTCCGTGCATTTTGTCCTCTGCCTCGGGATTGTTTCGTCATAGGCATCGAATGAGTTGCAGAAGAAGGCCAGTCGGGTCGCATCTGCTTTTCGGATGGTACTGGTAGGGATTTCGGCCATTGTTTAAGACAAGTCGCAATACCACCAGTAACCGCTAGTCTCCAGGCTTTCAGCAACTCACGTGGCATGCATCTCCTGTTCGATCCTGTTCGGCTGAGTAGCCAATGGCCTGCGGAAATGCCAGATCTCGTTTGCAGTCTGCTTGCAGAAGTAGCCGCTGCAAAGCATACATGTGCAACAGGCCTGAGCGAAAGTGATGACCGAATCCGCGCAGATGGATGATTTCCGCGACCAGCGTGCAACCATGTGGGTGGTAGCCGTGAAAGATGTCCTTAGAATCTTGCCTGCACCCTCGATAATCTTGCTTTTCAAGCCTCAGCTGAACCTGGACACTGGATGTTGATGCCACCTCGCCCATTCCCAGGAATGGATGGCGCCCCAAAGCATCATCAGGAGCTGAAAGATGCCGGACTTGCAGTGACCCAACATCTGAAATATTTGTACCATGCGTTTGTGTGTGTGTGCAGGATGAGCGTTAGTTCACCGTTGAGAATGCAGGTTGGTCAGATGCTGTGTGCTTTCTGAGGTGAGGCGGGAAGTGAGCCATCGAACGATTTTTGCCGCTTGGCAAGTTACACCGCTAGCATACCAATTCCACAGGAAGAGGCTTGTTCGGTTTGATCTTGCTCTCCGCACAGGTATCCCACCAATGGCTCAGCAGTGCTCATCCCGATCCAGAAGGGCTGCAGATGCGCGTCTTGCGCGAAGCTTTGCGGAACATCATAAGTGCGAAGCTTCAGGCCTGTCCCGCCATCAGGGCACCAGGGGGTGAAGCTCCGCTTCAGAGTCTCAATGCAAAGCTCTGACAGGCAGAACTGGACATTGTTTCTCAGTTTTATTGCAAAAGCCGCAAGTATCTTGGCATCTCATTTTAGCATGACCTTTGAGAGTGCTGGTTGCGTTTCATGTTTTGACATGGGTGGCAGGAGGCTTCTTGTCAGAAGGCCTTGTAACCTAGCGGTGGGTACAAACCTAAAGATTCTGCAGATCTCATTCCGTGATTGCATCCTGTATACTGTATACTAGATGTTTGAACCTAAAAGTCTGCCATGGCCCCGTGGGAAAGTTCAGGTTTACAACAGCGGAGCGAAATCAGATCAAAGAAGCTTACATCTGGCTCGACTGGTTCTCCGTGCCGCAGGTTGTCGGGGGCCCGAGGGATGAGGACGAGGTTTGCATCCTGAGACGGATGCAGCTAATGTGCATCCGGTCCATTCCCAGCTATGTGGAGTCTTCAGAAATGTTTGTGGCTCTTGTTCCGCCGCTGCAAAACAAGTCTACGGGAGTGGTCTGTGACTTCAGAAGTTGGTTGGGCCGGGGTTGGTGTCTGCACTGCAAAGCCATACCCTCTTTTTTTGCTTTCTGCTTTCTTTTGAAGTTGGGTGGTGAGATGCTCACATGAATCAGTCAGCGTTGAGTCAACTGAGGTGTCGAACCGAAATGTGGTGCAAGTTGCTCGCACCTGACTCAGGCATGCCGATCGTGGTAATCGGTGGTGCTGACAAAGCGGAATTCGTTGGGTCAACAAGCTGGGTGCAAGCTTTGGTTCACGAAGGCGATTTCGCAGTGGAGTCCGACCGAAGGATTTGCAGCAAGGTCGTGCAGGCTGCTCTAGACCAAAAATTGCGGCGACTGGCGCGCGACAAACATCATGGCAACCTCTTCAGATACTTTGCTGCTAGGTATGAGGACTTCGTTGGGATTCCAGCCACGCAACGCAGTATGGAGTGCTTCCTGGTGCGCTTTGGTTTTCCTTCGCTGGGATCGGCCTTGAGGCAGAAGTCAGGAATGGGAGCGGTGGCTTGTGCCGCGCTTTCAGGAGACACAGCCATGCTAGGCCGCCTAGTGGATATGAGGGCATCTCTTGAAACAAAGCTGCCAGAGCTTTGGGAAGTGGCTCTGCCAATCAAGGCCACTCCTCTTATCATGACGCTCACAGGCGGCGAACGGTGCACGGAGGCCCTGGTTGAACTTCTAAAGTTGAGAGCGGATCCGAACAGCTGTGATGGCAACGGCGGTGCCGCTCTTTGCTACTGCACCACCCCGCGAGCGGTCGACCTTCTCGTGGAATACCGGGCAGATGTAAATCTTCGTAAGGCGCCCACCATGATGTCGCCCATTTCTGGCCTCTGCGCAAGAGGTGCGTCACCAGAAACTGTGGCCAAGTTGTTGGAGTGGAGGGCGGATGTGAATCTTTCTGATGGCGGGCTTGGCCAGACAGCTATTGTGTACTTGACCATTTTCTTCTCTGGAAACCTGCGCGGTTTAGAAGTTGCGGAGCTTCTCCTACAGGCCAGCGCAGAGGTAAATAAAGTCAGCGCCATCGGCTGTGCTGTCAGAGTCATCGAATACAGTTCTCGCACGCTGACGTTTTTCAAGAAGGCTGGCACGGTGTCAGTTGCTGCATTTCTATGTGCCGAGTAGGTGCTGTCATCAGAAAGCAGCTACTCCTGCAAGTGTGGTCAGCTGTCACTCCACCCCAAAAATCTAGCTGACAAGCAACTAGCTCTGAAAGCAATCAGCAATTTCTAAAGTTGGGCAGAAATGCCTTTTGGCTGCTTGTCCCCCATGCAGTGTCAAATTCCTCATGCCAGGAACTTCCGCTCCTGCTTTCCTGGTTTGCAGAGGGTGGCACCACAGCACTTGGTGCCGCCTGCTTCTTCGGATCTACAGAGACACCTCCCAAAAGTTCTGATGGGTGTAAAATGTAAAAGCCAGGTTGTAGACAAGCGGTTGGGGTATCAGGTATTGAGCTGTTTCGTGCCTGGTTTTTTTTGTTGTGTCTGGTGTTGTGCTGGGCCGGAAATGAGGTCACTCAGGCAACAGTTGCAGTGCCAGCCACTGGGAGGGGTGCTCAGTAGAAAAACCATGCTGGAGCGTGAGCACGCCAGACCAGTGGTATTGTTGATTTTGTCAGTGCCATGTCAGTTGTATTGGCAGCGCTGGCCCTGCCTGTCATGCTGGTTGTGCGGATTGCTGTGGTTGTTTGATTTTTTATTATCTTGCTTATGTACAGTCGTGCTATCTGTGTTGTCTCTGTCTTTGCTCGACTGGGATGATCAACCCCAAAAGTCTCGAAGCAACCTCAAACCTTAAACCCTAAGCAAGCCGAAACCAACCCAACACCCCAACCCTAAACCCTAAACAGGTCCAAGCCTTAAACCCTGAAACAGTCTGAAGCCTTAAGCTGGTCTCGAACCACCGGCCCTAAGCAACCCCAAGCCCGGAACCCTAAAAGCCTGAACCCTAGACCCTAAACAAGCTGGAACCAGCCCAACACCCCAACCCTAAACCCTAAACCCTAAACAAGCCCAAGCCTTAAACCCTGAACAGTCTGAAACCTGAAGCTGGGGGCGAGCAACCAACTCTAAGCAACCTCAAACCCGAAACCCTAAAAGTCCCCAAAGTACCCAAACCCTAAATTCTAGACCCTAAACATGATACGAGTGCCTGGAATTCTGTGCAAGTCTGAGTGCGAGATGAGGTGAAGGGACACTGCATGTGCAATTCAACGCTGAGAATGAGGTCAACGAATTTGTGTGCTGCATGATGTTGAAATCTAGAGAGTTAGTGTCGTTTTGTTGGGGGGTGAGTGATGCTATCGCGACTGTTGACAGTGGATTGCTTCCTGACCGCCTCTTGAGGGGGCTCGTTCCGCTGGACAGGCCATTCATTGCCGTGCCTGCACTTGTGCGATGCGCGAGTCTAGACCCTAAACAAGCCAAAATCAACCCGACATTCCAAACCTGAACCCTAAACAAGCCCAAGCCTCAAACCCTGACTTGCCTGAAACCTGAAAGTGTTTGGTGAACCCCAAGCAACCCTCAACCCTAAACAACCCCAAACCCTACCCCCCAAACCCTAAAACTTAAAGAAGTCCAAACCAACCCCGAACCCCAAAGGCTAAACCCCTAAACAAGCCCAAGCGTTCAACCCTGAACAGCTCATGCAGACGTTCTGTACAAGTCCGTTGGGTACAAAACAACCCTGAACAGCCTGAAGCCTAAACTGGAGTGTGCACCACCAAGCCTGAGAAACCGCAAGCCCTAAACCCCAAGGTACCCCAAATCCTGAACCCTCAAACTTGGCAGAATTCACCAAAAGCCCCACATGTGCAGCTATTGATATTTTGCGTAGTGGGGCGTTAACTATGCCAACTCTTTGGCTCAAGAACAAAAATCGGACCTCAAACCTAAGGTTTTCCGTGAGGTACGGCTGATAACCCCAAGAGTCTTCTGTCTGTTCACTGACGCTGATCACGGTGGGTCCGTGGAGCATGGGTATAGCACCTCAGAAGTTTGTTAGCAATTCAAGGTCCTAAGACATGGTTCCCGATCAGCTGGCTTTCCCGTCGTCAGGGTGCAGCATCCCGCAGCACAACCGAAGCTGAAGCAATCAGCTTAGCCACCGGTCTGTTTGACGAAGGTCTTGCGAATCAAGAATTCCTGTCCCAAATTCTTGGTCGTCTTATCCTGCTAAGATGCAAGCAGGACAACATGGCTACAATTCAAGTGATCCGCAACAATTACTCACCTCGCCTCGCTTACGTCACGTGAGTAAGACCCATAAAACAGACCTTGCAGCGGTCTCTCTGATGCGTTCATCGAAGATGACATAGTGTTAGAGTACGTCCGGACGATCCCAGGCAGCAGACATAATTTCCCGGGCCCAAAGTGGATGCCCGCATTGCAAATGCTACGGATTGGCAGTCGCTCCGGTTCTAACATTGTGCAGCGGTCTGAGGAATAGGATAGCAACGAACCCTAAGATCTTGCGTGCCTCACCCACACAGTAGCGCGAACGTGAGCACTTTGGCAATAGGGGTGATGTGCTCCCTTCCCGCCACGTAATCAGCAGAACCGATTCCAATTGGTGAATTCAATTGCGAATGCCTTAAATCGTAAACGGACTGCAGTACTGTCAAATACTAGAGCCTTTGTGTACAGACTCCCCGCACGCCCGCCCCAAACTTACACGTGAGCATGTTCAATGACTGTTGCCCCGCGGCATTAGCTATAAAGCGACTCCAAACCTTTCCTGTGATTGTTATAGTAGGCTCTGAACCCAGTGGGTGTCGTTACCCCAAAGGGGAGCAGAAATCACCGAAGGAAAGCCCCACATGTACAGCTACAGATGTTTTGCTTAGTGGGGCGTTAACTACGCCAACTCTTTGGCTCAAGAAGAAAAATCGGACCTCAAACTTTGGGGTTTCCTTCAGGTATCCTGTTCATATGTTGCTATAAGCACGGCTAGAATCTTGAATCTAGAAGATTCTTCGAATTTCAACAAGCCCAAACCACCCCCCAAACCCTAAATCTAAACAAGCCGAAGTCTTCAGCCCTGAGCAGCCTGGGCAAACCACCGACCCAGCGCAACCCCAAGCCTGACACCCAAAAAGTCCAATCAGCCCAAAAGCCAAACCTTAAACTCTAAGAAGCCTCAGCGCCGGGCAGCCCGCGCTTGCGACGAGCGCGCGCTTGAGACGCGCCTTCCTGAGCCTACCACTGCGTCCCGAGCGCTGCTGCTCTCGCAAGCTGGGCCCCATGTGGCGTAGGTCTTCACCGTCCTCCGCGCGTGGGACGAACTCACCGTGCCCAGTCCGCACTTCCGGGTTCTGCTCCTTCGCCGCTTGCGCCTGCCACTGCCGCTCGGACCCCTGACCTTGAGCCATAGCCGCGGAGGGCAGCTGGCACGGGGCACCACCAGGGCGTCTTGTGCCCGATCCAGTTCTTCAGCGAGGGGATCGGCGCTTCAGGTCCGGTAGCTGAAGGAGACTTGCCAGGTGCAGCATGGGAGCGATTCAGAGCTTGCTCATCGAGAGAGCCACCATGGCTGGAAAGAAGGAGGCCACCGAGATCATGGACCTTGATCCGCGGACAAGCTATCCCTATCGCCCGCAGGCGTGCCGCGGAGCCCGAGCTGACACTCGAAGGGATCAGCAAGCTCCTAGCTAAGCAAACGGCGGAGCTTCAGCGCCTGCAGAAAGAAGAAATTGAGCAGGCTGGCAGGCTTAGTGAGAAACGCACCTTGGGCCTTAAGGAACTGAAGGACGAGCTTAAGAATGACACTGTGAGGACGCATGAGGGTATGGAAGCTCTTAGAACGGAGCAGGGGGAGATCAAGAAGTCACGCTGACTAGGAGACCAACAACAGCTTCGGAGTTGGGGGGTCGCAGATGCCAGGCTGGCCTTCTTCCACTAGCGGAGCTGTTGTGCTGGGCGATGGAGCTGCTGAGCTGATGGACGAGCAGCCTTGGACCCTGGTCCTCCAAAGGAGTCGCCCTGGCGGCGTTTCTCCATCGAAGTGGTGAAGGACCAGAAGACGTCAGGGCCCGCGTGATGATGATAGTGGACAAGGTCAACCAGAGTGCCATGGGAACACAGAACATGATGGAAGGGCGCCCTATTTGGGCGACGACCTCACGGGATCGTGCAGACCGTGGGGAGAACTCACGTGTGAGCAAAATCCGACGGGTGTTCCACGTCCTCTTTGTGGCCTTTTTTGCCTACGAGTGTGATTATCGCGAGGGCAGCTTATGGGTTGGCGAAGAACTCATCGGCTCAGCTACGCGTCAACCACCTCCAGCGGAAGTAGAGACCAAGTCCTGGCTTACCTTGCGTTCAGGGGGGAGCGGAGAGGCGGCAGCAAAGAGTTGCTGCTGCTAACACGCTTCGGGACATTGCCAAAGCTAGCAAGTCGCCAGAGGACTGGACGCAATACTAGGCGCAGATGAGAAGGGACAGGGGGGAATGAGCAACCTCTAGAACGCAGAGGGCCGTCAGTGATTGGGGCACTTACAGGCAGCTCACACAGACCAAGAAAACATGGGCAGAGTCCTTCATGAGCAGCAATGACCAATCAGACGGGCTGCAGAGCATAAGGACAATTTCCAAAGCGCCTTCGAGGCAGTTGAAGAGATGGAAGGTGACCGAGCGTTGGATGAGTGCAAGTCTAAGCTAAGACAGGGAGCGCCGATACCTTTCATTCACAGTTCAGGAAGTCAGGGAAAAGATTTTGTCGAGCAAGAATTCCAAGTCAGTTGGACCTGATGCATTACCCATCGAGCTCCTCAAAAGGATGATTGCCGATGGAGTCATCATGCAGGCCCTGGTCACATTCGTTAATGATGTCCTGGAAGGCAGGAAAGTGCCAAGTGAAGGGAATCGGGCGATTGTTGCTCTCCTCCTCAAAGCCCTTGCTCCTGATGGACTCTCTGACCTGAGACCCATCTCTCTAGCGTCTCATGTTGCTAAAGCATTCGTGCGGATGCTCGTGGGAAGGATGGCAAGATGTTTGCAGCCTACAGGCGTCATGCAGTGCGCAGCCAAGGGACGCCAAGCCGCTGACGCATTTTGGGCAGTGAAACAAGTTTTGCATGCTTTCAGACAACCGGCAGACCTACAGGGCTCAAGCGCAGCATTGTACATTTGTATAGTTGCTGGCTGGCACTAAAGTCCGAAGACATGGACGGCTTGGGTCCCTTGCTTGCAGCTGGGTCGGTTGACACCAGCCTTTCTGACTGGCCGGCGCTTGAGTGTTCGCTCAGTGCTGCCTCACTGGGCCAGGTTTTCGTCCGCGCGGCCTGATGGCAGAAGCCGTGTGGTGGAGGCCAAGATAAGGCCCCCCTGCAACGGGAGGCAACGCCAGCTTTAACCTGCGTAGCCTGTTTCAGCACTCGTGGCGAGCCACTCAACTGGGAGCTTACGTCCCT